CTATATTTAGCAACTGGTTTTATTCACTGTTTCGTTACCAGTGCCCGGCAAGAGATTTTGTGTCGAAAATTCGGCGCAAGATTACAATAATTAATCTTACTTAAGTGGGAGAAAATAAAAGGAACTCAATTTTAGGTACTTTTAGAAAGACTCAAATCAAATTTTCGCAAACAGTTCCAAATTTATCAATGAAAATTCGCAAGTCCAGGTTTTTCTATTCTATAATTTGCTAGAGTATATTTTAATTCTACTATTAGGAGACCGAAAAATTACTTTTAACCGCAGATTTGTAACAGCTATATCGACAAGCTAACTCGGACTTAAGTTATTACGTCACTGACTGGTAGGTAAAATCTGTGCCATTCTGCAGCACTATTTTTAAAAAGTGCTTAGGAAGGTAGACCTGCTTTGGCAAACACGCGGCTGCATGACTGCAAATTGGCACATTCAAGTTCTACTACATATTGAATGCCATACTTCAAACACGACAATCCCCAATCGAATCACATGAGGCAATCTTGAGTTTACATTTCTATCGAAGTGGTTAACTATTATATGAATAATGATATTTATTTGTCCTGCTCACCTCACACTTTCCACAAGTTAGTTCCATTAGACAGTGGACCATTTTTGGGCCTTTCCAGGGCAACCTGTAAACCACTTTTAGCGACTAGCACAGTCGAAATGTAGGACAGATCGTCCATGTGTAACATTCTAAATAAACAAAATCAGCTTTTCTGGAATCTTAGAAAGAATATTACAAATGAGTTTTCAAAACGAGGCATCTGGCCTTTAATAGACATATTTTGAGATGATTTCGCACCAATAGAAATGTTTTGATTAGAGTTCTCAAGAAACTGCTGACATAAATGTGATGTGTGAAGAAAACTACTGAAAACCTAGGATTTTTGAACATATTATCCAAGATTGTGAAAACTGACGAGATATCAGTTGAAGGCTGATTACCCCGTTAGGATTCTATTGTAAAAAAGATATTACACTATTTCGACCTCCACCTAGGGAGAACATGACCTTGACGCTGGTGGTGGAGCTTGAGTGAGCCTCAATGACCCTGAGAGCTATGCCGGCGGTAGCGTAGCTACTGGTAGGGCCACCCTTGCCGGACAGGTCGATGGAGAGGGGTGGGTCGAAGAAGATTCTCCAGAAGAGGACCTCAACAACACCAGAAGAGGGCCCATAGCATAGGCAACCCCTCATGCGGAGTTAATACGCATAATGGCGGGTGGAAAGGCCATAAGCTAGCAGCCCTATCACACCACAAACTTCGCGAGACGCTGGTAACCTCTTCGGAGTTAAACTTACACTCGCAATCTTTACAAGATAATACCGGACAAAAACAGACGACGACCAACGCACGAAAAGGACAAGAATAAAGGAATTAAGGATAAACGGAAGAATAAGAATAAAGGAAGAATTAAGGATAGCAACTTGGAATGTGAGAGGATTAGGGTCTAAGGAGATGGAACTGGAGAAAATTTTGCTCGAGAAAAAAATTCAAATTGCTATCATCACAGAAACTAAGAAAAAATTGAAAGGGACAAAAGAACTGGACGAATACATAATGATTTATAATGGTGTATAGCAAAATGAAAGGACGCGGGCAGGAACAGTCATCCTTATTCATAAAAGCTGGAAATCAAGAATTGAAAGTTATAATTTTATTAATGAGAGAATGATCTCTTATAGAGTTAAGATTTCCAGAGGCCATCTGACAATATTAGAACTGTATGCCCCAGAAGAAGGCAAAAAGGAGGAAACACAAGATCTATATAAGCTACTGCAGAAACATATTGACAAAACAAATAAAAACGACCATCTTATTGTAGGAGGAGACTTTAATGCGAGAGTAGGTAAAACACCTATTCTTCTGCAAGAAGAAAGTATACAATTGCTGTATCAAACCAGACTGCAGAATTACTTATTAAAAACTTCAACTGAGAATGATATAGAAATATAATGGAATAATGTGCAAAACTGCATTGAAAGGGTGGCAAGAGAAGCAATAGGCAGAAAGAAGAAAATAAGAAGTAAAAAAGGTCTGAAAATTTGGAATAGTGAGATTGAAAACCTAGTAAGAAATAAACAAAAAGCTTATCTTCAGCACCTACAACAAAATACTGAAGAGAGTAAAGAAAGATACAAGGAAAAGTGCAACATAGCAAAAAATTATATTCGACAAGCTCAACAAGCATGGGATACATTTATAAGCCAAATAGAAAGTGATATACACGGAAGACAGAATTTTGCTTATAAGATTTTTAAACAACTTAACAAAGAAGAAAAAGATAGAGCAAGAATATATGTAATTGATAAGAAATACTGGATTAAGCGCTATGGAAATTTATGGTATAACGAAAATGAAGCACAACATGAAACATGTGAAGTGGTATGCAGTGAAGTCGATCCCATAACAATAATTGAGATCCAAGAGGCTTTGAAAGAACTTAAATATAGGAAAGCAACTGGAACAGACAACCTAAACGCAGAACTATTAAAATATAGAGGGATGATGCTCCACTGGCGACTACAACACATTGTAAATTGCTGTTAACTAAACTGCAACTAATAACATACCAGAATCATGGAAATCTGCTAAAGTAGTATCCATATTTAAAAAAGGAGATTGATAAGATTGTAATAATTATAGACGAATCAGTATCTTAAATGCAGTGTACAAACTGTACACTAGAATACTAAATAAAAGATTTGAATGCATCTCAGAAATTCTTATTGGTGAAGAACAGAATGGTTTTAGAAAAAGGAAGATCGACTACAGACAACATATTTATACTGAAACAAATAATAGAAAAAAGGAGTTCAACCAACAGACACACATAGCTTTCATAGATTTTGTAAAAGCCTTCGATAACGTAGAGTGAAACCCTGGTCTATAATGAAAAATAATGGATATCCTCAAAAGTTAGTAGAAGCAATAAGGAGTTTGTATAAAGATTCTACTACTGTTATAAATGTATGAACAAATGAAACTGATAAAATATTGATAAACAGAGGAGTATGGCAAGGCTGCCCAGTATCACCGACACTTTTTAATATTTATATCGATGACATTATCCAAAATTGGAAGAAAATAATTTACAAAGGTATTAAGATATCAAAAGAAAATATCATACTCTACGCAGACCATGCTTTGATATTCCAGGAAACAGAAGATCATTTACAATATGCATTATTCCACTTAAATCATTTATGTACAAAATACGATGTTGAAATATCGAAAGAAAAAACAAAGGTATTGGCATTTTGGGAGAAACATTTAAAAAGATCAAAAATTATTTTGGACAAAAAACAACTTAAGAGCAAATTTCCAATTTCAATTACTTAGGTTGTCAAGTCGATCAAGATACCAATAAAGATATCAACATTAAATTGTCAAAGTTTCAAAGGATTTGTGGTACTATACATAACACACTAACAAACAAGACAAGACAAAACACAATAAAGTTTTATAAGACCATGGCTCTTCCAACTCTTCTATATGGAAGCGAAAGCTGGGTACCAACAAAAATTTTTTTAGCAGAATCCAGACCGGTGAAATGAAGTTTTTGAGGAGAACGCTAGGCTGCACAAAAGAAGATCATATTCGTAATGAGAAGAGAAAAACTAAATGCTGAAGGAATAGGAAGCAAAATAAATAAATATCGAGATAATTGGTATCAACACACGCAAAGGATGGATAACTCAAGATTACCTAAATTAGCTTTACTCAGCCAACCGCTTGGAAGGAGAGACGTGGGAAGACCCAAACAGCGATGGAAGGAAAACTTGTGAAAACGGAACAGGCTCAAGCCTAATCCATGAAGTGCAGAAGAAGACTATTTCGACTGTTTGGCTAGACTCTACAGCGAGTGTCCCCCGAAGAAGACTAAAAACCAAAAAAGTAATTGGTAGAATATTGCTTCGACGAAGGAAGAGAAAAAGAGTATTCACTGACACACTAAAAAAGATAGACTATAGAGAATACACGGCGAGAAAGAAAGAAAACAGCAAGAATTAGAAAGCAAGAGTTAAAAGCAGGAAACAATACTGGCTTAACAGAAAACAAACCAAGAAGAGAAGATATCAGAAACTGACTCCGTCTCCAGTGGGAATGAATCAGAAAAAATCACAATGGCTACGAAGATTTTGAAGTTGCTTCTGATCCACAAGACGAGGGTATAAATGTTGATATTCCCCAATCTGAAAAGAGATATGTTGGAAATTTCTTGCTGACTAAATTGACCCTTGTGGCCAAAGTTATTTCGAGATACATGACCGATTATCAAGTGTCATATGAGGGGAAAAACACTTATCTTATGCGTTTGTTTTCCCAATTGAAGACACTGAATGTTGACTTTTGTAGTCGCTTAAACGAAATTTCTAAGAGGCATATGTCTATAATTTTTATACCGGCTTAAGCGAGTACAATTGGGAACAGAAGCTTAATTAGAATTTATTAAAGAATTATGATTAAATTATTATTTTTCTTACTTTGTGAGTTGGCGCTTTTTTAAGTATTACAATTGCTTTTAAAATGGATTTAATTAAACATACTTTAGGTTTTAAGTAAACAGTGTAATTATGTACCAAAAACGTTATTTTTCATTAACTGTTTGTAAATACGGCAATTGCCATTCTCAAACAATATATGCTTAGCATGGAAGCACACCATTCAAGGTATACGAGTCCCTTAGGTGAAGAATGATACAAAACTCATTTTTACTCAAATCATTTTAACCGCATTGTCATCTAATTTTAAAAGTTCTTTGGATAACATAATACTGATTAGTTGCGCCGTCATATAAACTAAAAGAATATTTAATTAATTTAGATTGCATAAAATAATATAATTTTTCTGTATCAATCTGCGCTTGCTCCTAACTGACGCGAAAACTGTCAACTTTTCTTGGATTGTAGAACACACAGGGAATAATAAGAACAATAATAATAATGATAAATTTATTGAACAAATCCATGACCATGGTACACAAACAAAAAATTATCATAATGCAAAAAAACATAGGACACTTAAAAAGTGCCCAAGTGACCAAATTTCCTTGATGCATCGACGAATAGTCGAAGCTATTAGTGTCGATACTGAAAGTTAACACCAAAACTAAAATTGTATTATATACTATTCAAAACATTTCTATCTTCTTCTTCCTGAAGATTCTTTCCCACCCCCTCTACTCGATCACCGTACTATCTTTTCTCCTCTGCGATTTTGCTGGGATGGCCAGATCTTGTGGGCGAGAGAGCTTAAGATTTGGTGGGGGGGTGCTCTAATAACCACAAGAGGAGCCACATTTAATCTTGAACATGCTACACGAGAAAGAGTTCAAAGAATAACAGAAGCCAATCCTTTGATTGAGTGCAGTACAATGCAAGTAAAGAATATTGGAATCGTTTAAATTGTTACATATGTTAAATTGATTAGTTGCAGCTGCTTATTCTAATACATGTTTGGTCGAATATTAAATGGGCAACACAGTACTGCCGATTGTACAGTGGTGGATTAATACTCAATGGGACCCTAGGCAATTGCAAATGAGAGGCTCCCTGCAGTTTTCATTGACCCTGACATGAGTTATTGAAGTATGCATTTTGAATGTATATATTAACATCTCATAAAAAGTATTGATGAAATATTTAATTTTAAAAATTTTAAACCCGAAATCGTGCAACAAGAAAGTGACTGTATTAAAAAGAATAGTTTTCACGATATAAAACACTCCACTACTTTCCGGTTTTGTTGTATGTAACCGACTTCGATAGTTGCATTCCAAGCTCAAAATATCTCAAAAATTAATACAAGATTACAAAAATATAGTATGACTTTTTCATTTATCAAAAAAGGTTTAAAAAAATACTTTAAGACGTCGGGGTAGGCAATTGCCTAGTTCCACTTATAGGTTAATCCACCACCGCGTTTGTAGCTTCAACGATTAGGCTTCTGTGGTCCGGTCTTACAGAACTTCCCAATTTCTTCCTTTGCTTTCCTATGCCTCTTCACGTATATTTTTTTCCGTACTAATTTACATAACCAGAGTTATTGATTCTTTGAACAAGTTGTGGTCAATTGCATTTGTATTCCATGATTCCTTATATAATTACATCTACCCATCTTATCTTGGACAACCTGTCGTTTTTCGTAACTCCACTTCCGCTCTTCGCTAATTGTGTACGTATGCTCTGAGAAGGGATACATTTCACTTCCATTGAGAAGGGCCGTTTGTTTTTATATTATGTATTCTTAGGTAAGAGTTTTTTTGGTTTTATTTTTTCAATTCTTAATATTTTTTGAAACTTTCAGCTCCATCAATATACATTTTTAGAACTTACTGTAACCCATTTAAGACTGCACGCACGTTGTCCAAACGAGCAACCTGAAGTGGAGTCTTTCCTTGCTTATTCCTCTCTGTAGTATACGCTCCGGCGTCCAACAAAACACGCACGCACTCCACGTGGCCATTTGAGGAAGCCTGATGGAGAGGCGTGTTTCCGGACTTGTGCTTTGCGTTTTTGGTATTGACGTCCGCGCCATGTTGAAGCAGCTCTCTCACGCACGCAAGGTGTCCGTGACTGGCTGCGTAGTAGAGGGCAGTGCCGTTCGCGCTATCCGTTGCGTTGACATTCACGCCCGCTTTCAACAACGCCATTAGCGGCTCCAAGCGACCGTAGCAACCGGCGTGCACAAGGCCCAATCCTCCAGCCTGGCCGTGTACTTTGTTGTGCACCACGTCCACGAAGGCCCATACCACAGCGGAACTCTTGGCCTTCATAAGCCCCCATACAACCTGCCGAGCGTTTAACGCGGCCCCGCGACGCAGCAGCTCTCGCACGGCGTCTGCCTGGCCGGCCTGAGACGCCCATGCCAAAGCGCATTCTTCATCGTCTTTGCACTTTGTTGCAGACGCCCCTTTTTCCAACAGCAGATGCACCATCCCCCATCGGTTGGCTTTCGCAGCCAGCACAATTAAAGGATCTCCTTCTTTAGTACACGCGTTAATTAACGATTCAATTTGCAGAAAAAACTCGACCAAATCCCAATGACTACCCTCTGCAGCTAAAGCAACTGCCTTTTCATTTGGCTTCGCTCCCTTCTGGAGAAGTAGGTTCGCTACGTCCCTGCTGCCCTGCTCCGCAGCGAGGCCTAGGGGCGTGTGGCCGTCCGCGTCCTCGGCGTCGACCTGCGCCCCGGCCAACAGGAGGCGCTGGGCGACCGCCAGGTGGCCGTGGGCGGCGGCGCAGTGCAGCGGCGTGCGCAGCCGGTGGCCGGAAGCGTTAACCTTCGCCCCCGCGCCCAAAAGGACCATCACGGCTTTCACGTGTCCTCCACTTGCAGCCACGTGCAGCGCAGTATCCCCATCATTTGTACGCGGTGGGTTACTCTGTACGTCAATTCCAGTGGTTGCTAGCCAACCGAGTAAAGCTTCATAATCCCCGCTTCTCGCCATCTCGACCAATGACGCGGGTGTTCTGGCAGAGGTAGACCTACGAGGGTTGGAAATTGCCTGTACTCCAAGTCTTCTATAGGCCAAGAGAGCATCCACTTTCGGCATCAGAGTTCCAACCGCTCTGTTCACAGATTCCTCCAGAAGGGACATCCTGGATTCCATTTCAACCAACCGCATTCTGGCTTCGTTGTCCTCCATTCCGCGCAGTTGAGATTTCTTTATACTACTCTGCAACGAATACATAAAGAATTAAGATACAAATTACTCTGGATTTCCATTCATATTACATATGCATTCACATTACATTCGCATTACATATGTATTAAAATCCGACACAGCCTAATACAATACATCCGACCAATTCGAAAATGCGTAATATACAGCACAGGGTGGCAACTATTTTTTCACGAACAATTTTTTTATTTTTTCTCCGCTTTTTCACAAAATTTATTATCTCCTGATTTTTTATTCAATCAATGCAATAAAAAATAATATTTTTTCAAAGTTCGCGTAGAACTATTATGGCAATTGTGAAAGGAATGTTGTTCTCGTACACAGAGACAACAGAAGTCTTTGAGGGCGTTCAACCGCAGGGATTTCAAAGCCGAAAATATTTTTTCCCTCCCGAAATGTAATGAGTAGGGGGCGCATTTTAATAAAAAGTCATTTTTTCCTTTTCACTTTAGAACAATGCTGTTTAGTACAGAAATTAAGTTTATGTTCTAACAAAAGGAAATGACCCACTTTTATGTCCTTTTTTCTTTTATTTTGACATAGTCATTTTTTACGTTGTTTGTCATTTTAAAGCATTTTTTGATTTCATCGATTTTAATTTCAATTTAATGTTATTAAATGTAAATAGTATTTACGAGATACAACAAATGTTCTCCGCAAAATTCTTGAAAGCCTATTCGATTTCTTCGCTCAAAAATTGTAATGTCAGCCGTTGTATGTAATCTAAGAATCCTGTGACGCCTATAAGCGCCATTGTCGGTTCAGCCGATTTCGTAATAACTAAAGACAGATTTCCTAGTAAACAACAGTCCAAACCAAACGTTTGCAAGCCGAGTTCACTTTGACGAATAGAAGAAACCGATTATATCAGTAACGTATCCAACAGCTTGAGTTGTTCATCCGAACAGGTTATTAATACATTTCTACGTCATTTTTCTTTTTCTTGTAGGGCATTTTAAAACCATTTTAAGAGCCTTTTATTCATTTTTGGTGATGTTTTAGGTCATCTAAATCCGCTCCCTAGTAATGAGAGATTTACCCCACAATCCCTAACCCCAGAAGCCGCCTTCACAGAGAGGCCTCGACACGTCGCGTCGGATGTAGTAGCTCCAAAAACTGGGCACACTATTGTGAAATGGACAGAGGACATCTTTCGAATAATTACACATTTCTACAATTTTTAAACGCCGTGCCGTATTTTTAAATTTTGTTTCAAAAAAACTTTACGTCTCCCTTAAGTACCCCCAAAATATACTTCAAATGAAAGCAAAATCTGCGTTCAAGATGGTAAGAAAAAAAATTGAAAATTCTCCTATAACTTAGAAAAACCTTACCGGCCTAATTTTTTAACGAGAAGTTTATAATAATACAGGCTATGGAAAAACTTTTGCGGGCATAGATTTTTTTAAGTTATAGAAGAATTTATATGGTGAAAGTACTCTTTTTCTTTTATTCAATACGTAGTAACTTCTTTTTAGGAATCAGATGGTATTAAATGTAACGTATCTCACCGCGCATTCTGAAGAGTAATTGACAAAAAACAGCTGCTAAATTCATCCCAACCGGGAGTACTGGCACTCGACCTTGGGGCCATGCTTTACACATCGTGCTATTATCACCACTGTTTCTCTTTGGTTACAGTGGTTTGGTTCTCTCTGGTTACAAGATAAAATCATCTCAACTTAAAATGTTGTACTACACACAAACGCAAACTGACGATAATTCACTTTCAATGTAAACGATGTGGACTAATATCGAACGCAGAAAGAAAACAACGAGCGCCGATATTACTCGCGCAACTTTTCTTGAACAATGATCTCGTTTCTCCCTCTCTGACACAAACAGTTGAAGACAAAAGCTCGCAGTGTGCACTGATGACATTACAAACACATCTTCACTGGCGCGAAATAGAAATTTTTTTCCGTTGAAGAAGAACTTCTGACCGTGATTTTATCCACAAAAATTAAATAAATGACAAAACTGGTGAAGATTCATCACAGGAAATACCTCGAACTCCTGAGAAAATTAGAACGCAAATTATTGAGAAAGTTGCGAAGGCATGACTGATTCTCGAGATTGGCATTGCTTCATAAAATCTAGTGGCCGATTTCGTAACTAATACCCCCACTCTACCCGCATTTCTTCAATCCATCGTTCAAGAAAAGTTGCGCGAGTAATACCTAACCAACTGTAAGTATCGCCAACTTGTGAAAATAAAAAGTCACGCGAGAGACTAAATTCACTAGTAAACCTTGTTTTTCTAAAGCAACTATCCAATATTTTTCATTCAACTATTTACAAATCATTATATAATTGCTCCTTTCACGTTTACAAGTTACCATTGTTAAATGGTAGATGTAATAAATCGTCGAGTGTTTGACTAGTGTCTGGCAGAAACATACCACAGTAAGATGATTTTTTTTCTTTCTAATACTGCAGCTTTAGAATTGCAGAATATTTGGGTAGAATATCTTCATTTATGGCAATATGAAATTATAGTCATCTTTCTTGATGTTGGTGGCCTTTTGTTTCTTCTTCTTCTTCTTGCCTGTCTGTCTCGCGTTAGGTGTCATTATTAATCATTTTTTGAAGAAAGTAAAAACTATATATTTCTATATACAATAAACCGTCAATTTTATACTTAATTCTATCTCGAATTTTAATTAAGACGTCTTCTAACTTCAACACTGGCTATGGGCCTCGGTTTGCGAGAAAAGTATATTGATAGAAAAGAAAACATACATATGATCGAAACTTGTCATTCAACAAGACGCTAAAACTTAACTTTATCGAGGTCATATTAGAGGTATAGTTTGCTATGACGTTTGTTTAAATATAACCTGATTATACTAACGGCGAAAAATCATGAGTGAGAATAAATTTAAGATCGAAAAACTGAATGGTTCGAATTATGCATGGTGGTCTTACCAAATGAAAATAATCCTCATGGAGGCTGATTTGTGCACAGTCCTAGAAACCGAAAAAAAAGAGAAAAGAAAAAAAAAGACGAACCAGCAACAGTTTCAACGGATGCTCACAAGAAGTTATACCTATCTACACAGGGAAAAGCGCTTGCGAAGATTGCCCTTGCAATATATGACGAGCAGCAGATGCACATCCGTAATAAAAATACAAAAGAAGGAACCAGCTACAGAAACTATATGCATCACAGGTCAGTAAGTTTAGCACCGTTCAATTGAGGAGACAATTTTATTCGTACAAGTTGAGTGCTTATGAGAGTACGAACAATTACTTGGGACGGATCAATAGAACGATAGCAGATTAGTCAAATATTGGCGACGTGATAGGTAATTGAGATTTGACAATGGTAATGTGTGATTTGTCAGACGATAACAATGTTGCATATGCCATATGTAATTTTCCTGCTGACAAGTTTACAAGTGGCGCGATTAAGATGAGACTATTAGCTGGAAATGCCAAACGTCGAGACAACCCTGAAAATCAGTAAACTGAATTGATGATAAAAATAACTTACCAAAAGATTATTAAAAAAACAGGTGACAAATGGTATATCAAAAAATAATCTAGATGGTAAAGTTTAAAGAAGAGGCACTGCAGAACCACGCCTTCACATGGAAGAGGAACAAGAAAATCATTTTTCATAAAGACGCTGCTTCATTTATGATGTCAATAGTGAGTTTGCATCGAGAAAGATATGTTGTAGATGCAGAACCATATAACAATGACATTATTTCAAATAGTGTAATCAAGTGAGAACAATAATGAAAAAATCACTCGATGCATGGCATAGACGGTTGATGCAAGTAAATAAAAAAGGCATAAGAGATGACTGATACTAATTCCATTATAGGACTGAATGTAAAATCAGATCTTTCAACACCATGTGACAGCTGCTTGGTAAGCAAGTTAACACGCCAACCATTCATAAAAACTCTTTCAAGGACAATGCATGAAAGACATCTGTATTGAAATTAGTACATGCTGATTTGATTGGACTAGTGGACGAGGCAAGTTGGGGCGGAAACAAATATATTCATTGTATCGTGGATGATGAGTGGGTATGTTTCAGTAGGGATTTTGAAACAAAAAAATGAAGCTTTGGACGAGTTCAAGAAGGAAGATTAAGGTCGAAAATCAAACTTGTGAGAAATTAAAGCGCTTGAGGACAATGGTCTGGAGGTTTGCTCTTGGCAGTGGACACAATTCTGCGAATCTGAAGGCATTCGTCACGAAAAAACAATGGTGAACACTCCTCAACAAAACGGAATAGCTGAGAGTTCAATAGAAAGCTACTAGGGTTTGTCAGATCACTTCGAGAAACAGCTTTCAAAGAGGGCATGGGCTGAATTAACCTATACTGCAGCACATGTTAGAACAGGGTTACCAATACTCATGACCCTAACTCATATGGACAGGGAGAAAGCCCAGCATGAGACATCTGCGAAAAATGGGCAGTGAAGTTTTCGTTCGTGCGCCAAAACTCAAACAGCATTCCAAATTAATAACCGAAAGCAGAAAAAGGGATATTAGAGGGATAAGAACTTGAGGCTATGGATATAGAGTCTGCATGCCTGAATCACAAATCCGGGAATGGAGAGATTGTGTATTCAATGAAAGATACAACGGTGAGAGAATCCGTGACAAGAGTTTTCGACGATGTCCAATGACATCCATCCTGAGAAATGTGGCGATGTCCAGTGACATCCATCCTGAGAAAAGTGGCGATGTCCAGTGACATCCATCCTGAGAAATGTGGCGATGTCCAGTGACATTCATCCTGAAAAATGTGGCGATGTCCAGTGACATTCATCCTGAAAAATGTGGCGATGTCCAGTGACATTCATCCTGAGAAATGTGGCGATGTCCAGTGACATTCATCCTGAGAAATGTGATGTTCCAGAAGATGATTAAGTTGATAACAAAAATGAAGCTAATATTAACAATGACGGAACAATCTAGTAAAGAAGAAATCCCGAAAAGGAAACGTGGTAGACAGAAAAAATAAAGTACAA